AGGAATTCCACAAGCTGGAAGTACTTGTGTCACTGATGGCTTCACTTGCCCTTGACATTAAAGCGCAGTGGTATCACTCTTGTCTCCTCCATTCTTTCTCCCAGGAGATCGGGCACTCCTGTAATCAATAAATCCACATCGTTTACGATGAGAAGTATTGTCAGTTTGTGAAAAATATGGTTAATATAGTTAGAATTTATGTGTTATATATGAGGCCTGTTTAGTGAATTTAGTATAAGCCTAATCTTCTTGGCCTATGGTGTATGACAAAACCGAACTTTGCATGTGGATCGGTAAGGATAGGTTAGGAGTGTCTGATAGAAATGGAAGAGGCAACAAGGGACTTGTCGAGAACCTTGTATCGACCAACGCCAAACTAATTGACAGTCTGACCATCGATTTCGATGATGCCCACCGTGTGCCCCACAGCAGCAGCAGCGGTGGGAGCAGGGACGGTGACTTGCGCAGGTATTTATAATGCCGGTGGACTTTCGCTGCATCTACCTACAATCTCTATTCTTCATCCCTCGCCCGTGCCCGGTGTCAAGACAGAGTCAGGAAGACCGGAGACGAGGGAGGTCGCAGGTGGATGGCTCGGATCGATTCTCACCTTGGCATTCCACCACACACCCTGGTCAACACATCAAATAACCAGGATTTCAACTGAGATTGGAGGCTGGCACGCCGAAGCCGCACCTAGGCGTGCCGCCGACGCCTGGCTCGGATCCCACAGAAAGGGTGTGCCATAAAGACCACTTAAATTGTAGTGAAAATGCGATTCCCATGTAGCATATGTAAAGTAGAGGGCGCGTTCACCGGGAGGGGTTTATTTGAAATCCGACGTTTCGGGTAGTTTGTTCGTCTACCCATCTTCAGGGACTGGAAAGTCCTGTGCACAGCACTCCTTATTATGGCGCCCTTTTGTCCAATGGGTGATCCGCCAATGCCGCCTGTGTGGCGCCATCCAACCCTATCTGACTTTACGAACCTTCTTAGCGGGGGCCAGTCACGGTGCGGGACAATCGGGGCCGTCAGTCATCACCGCGGCCGACGGGGGCGATTCAGGTCACGGTGACATGCGGGTTGGATGCAGCCACACAGGCGGCATTGGAGGATCACCCATTGGACAAAGGGCGCCATAAGAAGGAGTTCTGTGCACAGGAATTCCCAGTCCCTGAAGATGGGTAGACGAACAAACTACCCGAAACGTCGGATCTCAAATAAACCCATAAAGACCACATTAAGAAGGAGCCATTGCGGCCTGACTCTCAGACCTCCAGTACAGGAGGAGGTCCAAGTTATCCAGCTTCAAGCGCGTCAGATTGTTTATAGTGAGGAGGAAGCGCGCTGAGTCGTCGACCTCACTCTCCGTTCCCATTCCCACACCTCAGTCGCTGTCCGAGCCGGTCAGCAGAGTGGAGTGGGAAATGGGCGCGGTGGCTGGCATGGTTGACTGACCATGACTACGCGCGCCACGTGCATGACTCGCCCCCCCCACACACAGCAGAATTTCGCACAAAGGGGGTTGAACGGCGTGTATCTCACTTGCGTGAGAGGGCAGTGGTACGTGCTGTTTCAGCCCCTCCTTAGCCCACCAGTCCTCCACTCCACACATCACACACATACATAACGGGACAAACTGCGTGAACCGAGTGGGGGCATCAATCAGCATCCTTCCTATCCACGGCGCTTGATGTTTCGGGATAGTCTCAGACTCAAGTCGCCCGTGCAGCCAAAGCCGCATGGGGACCGAGTCGAGATGCACACTTCCCAAATGCGTGGGAGGTGGCAGTTGGTGCTTGCAGTGTGTGGGTGTTGATAACTCTGATAACTCTTCTGAACCACCACTTCCATCCTCCTCCTCGTCGTCCTCCTCCTCCTCCCTCTCCACTGCCCCAGCGACGGCCGTTCAGACAGCCGTCTCACACATCACCAACCCCAACACAACAACCGCCACCACCCGCACCTCTCCCGATCCCAGTGATGAGGATCAGGACTGCACCTGCCCTCACTGCGACCGTACCTTCACATCACGCATCGGCCTGGTCGGTCACTTGCGTATCCATCGCACAGAGACTGGCGAACCAGTGCCAGGAGCACCAACCTACACCCGCCACACTCGCCTCCACTGCCCACAATGCCACAATGGCACAATGGCCACATGCGCATCCACGAGAGCGGCATTGACCGCAGCCTTGACACACCCACCCCGCCGAGCCCCATTCCCATTGCACCACCTTGTGCACCCACTAACCACTCCCCAGCCGACATCGACGCCACCGACCTTACCACCCCTCAGTCCTCCCCTTCCTAATCCTCTTCTTACTTCACTGCCACAACGACGGCCGCCTCGGCGTCTGTCGCCCACGACTTCACCACAGCCGAACCTGGCACAACAACAGGCACAAGCCCTGCAACCTCCATCATCAGACGTGAGGGCCAGGGCTACATCTGCCCTCACTGCGATCGCACCTCCACTTCACGCATCGGCCTGGTCGGTCACTTGCGAATCCATCGCACAGAGACTGGCGAACCAGTGCCTGGAGCACCAACCTACACCCACCGCACTCGCCTCTACTGCCCACACTGCCCTCGCACATTCACGCATCCCATGGGTCTATTCGGCCACATGCGCATCCACGACGACCTGCGGTAGACAACCGCCGGTCACACCACACATTTCCTCACACCCTACCTCCTAACACCATCACCCCACCAGACATCAACCCCCACACACCTCATGCACTCAACTGCCACCTCCCACGCAAGTGGGAAGTGTGCATCTCGACTCGGTCCACATGCGGCTTCGGCTGCACGGGTGACTTGTGTCCGAGACTATCCCGACACGTCAAGCGTCGGGGATAGGAAGGTTGTTGTTCGACGCCCGCTCTCGATTCACGCAGTTCGTCACGTTGTGTGTGTGTTGTGTGGAGTGGCGGACTGGTGGGCTGGGGATGGGCTGAAGCAGCACCTACCACGGCCCTATTACGCAAGTGGGAGACACGCCGTTCTACCCCTGTTGTGTGAAATCCTGGTGATTGTGTGTATGGGGGGCCAGGTCGTGCTGTGGCGCGCGCAGTCATGGTCCGTCGACCATGACAGCCACCGCGCCCACTCCCCACTTCAGTATGCTGACCGGCTCGGACAGCGGCTGAGGTGTGGGAGTGGGAAGGGAGAGTGAGGTCGACGACTCAGCGCACTTTCTCCTCACTATAAACAATCTGACGCGCTTGAAGCTATCACGGTGCGCTAAAAAGCGTGGCTTGGAATGTTGCCAACTGACGCGATACCTTGGACCTCCTCCTTCACGGGAGGCGGTCTGAGAGTCAGGCTGCAATGGCTCCTATTTAATGTGGGCTTATGGCACTCTCACCATAGTGTGTGATCCGAGCCAGGCGTTGGCGGCACGCCCAGGTGCGGCTTCGGCCGTGCCAGCCTCCAAATCTCTGTTGTGTTGGTTAAAATCCTGGTTATTGTTGTGTGGACCAGGGCGTGTGGTGGAACGCCAAGGTAAGGATCCGTCCAAGCCATCCACCTGCGGCCTGCCTCGTCTCCGGTCTTCTTGACTCTGTCTTGACACCGGGCCGAGGCGGGGTAGGATGAGAGAGTGTGGGTAGATGCAGCGCAAGTCTACCCGCACTATAAACCCCTGCCCAAGTCACCGTCCCTGCTCCCACCGCTGCTGCATCTGTGGGGCATACGGTGGACATCGTCGAAATCGACGGACGAACTGTCGGTGGTGGTGGTGGTCGTCATCGTGGTGCAGGCAGGGAGGGTAGGTGTTATGGTGTGGTATTGCCGGCGGTTGTCTACCGCAGGTCGTCGTGGATGCGCATGTGGCCGAGTAGACCCATGCGATGCGTGAAAGTGCGAAGGCAGTGTAGACAGTAGAGGCGAGCTGCATCGGCAACCCGTATTTTCAGCTGCGTTTGCCGTTTTCGAGTTAATTGCCATTTAGTGGCTCCAAAGCAAATTCGCACAAACTTACGTCTCTCAACAAGGAGGTTCCGACTGCT